TTAATTTAGAAAATATGTAAAACTTTAAAATCTTTAGAATCTCCGAGCCGAGCGTAGCCATTCCGAGCGGAGCAAAGCTTACAAATTCCTGTAAATATATGTATGAAAGCGTTCATACAAGAAGCTTTTTAGAAGCGCTTTGGAACCAATTCCAGGCAGAGCCTTCTTTAGCATTTTTATTCAAATTCAGGATTTTCTTGATACTAAAAGGCCGAAAATGGAAGTTATTTGCATTTCAAAAATCTATATATGTGTACATATGTGTTCTTTTCGAATTAAAGCTAGTAGCATCCAAACCGTTTTGACTTTGCGAAAGCCTAAAATTTTCCAATAAGATTGGCATGTAAATAACGTAGCTATCAATAGAGATTTTTATAGCAAACATCACAGCTATACAACGAATCAATTGCATTCACAACCAAAGTAATTGAATTTTTTATTTCTAAAAACATTCCCGCCCACAAAGCTTTGTGCAAAAGCTATGTAGTATGTTGGCGCTTTAGTTTTATGTTTCCTGTCAGTTGCAAATTTCGGCATTCCCACCAGCCGCTGTTCTCCGCTAAAGCGGCTGAATGCCTGCATAAAGTGCAGAAGAGTCTCTGCAAATGCGCTGTTTTCGAAAAATCCGCATTGTTGGTGTTCACACGTAACTGCAAGATTAATTGCTTTTGGTGCGGGAAGCCAAATAAACCGTGCAATGGTGGCGCACAAACGCACGCGTATTTATTGTAAAGACTTCAATTTTCTGCAGCGATTGAAAACTTGCTGCTGGATCGTAAACTTTTCTATTGTGATTCCAATTTTTTATTTTTTTTTTTTTGTTCTCATTAAAAGCAACCCTGCGCGCGAAATGCGCTGTAAAGTTTTGTGCTTGTGCATTTTAATTGTTTTTCAACTTTTTTCCCCCTTTGAGAGCACTACTTTTAATTTTATTTATTTATTTTTTATCTCTGCCGCTATCAGTGCCCATAAACTTGGTCTGCATGAGCATTTAAAACGAAAGCAAAAAATGTTCACCAACTATTGCATATACATGTTTTTTCAATTTTCAATTACTCGCGCCAATTCGCACTCAATTTATTTCTCTTACTCTTATCTCTTTTCCGCCAGGCAATCACCCACGCGACGATGAAACCCACTCGGTCGCTCTATCGGATACCACAGTGCCTCGTGTGCGCCATACCTACATCGATGACACCTACGGCACCAGCTTGCCACCCGATCTACTCGCCTTCCCGGCGCGCGTGCCGCCAACTTCACCTTCCATGCAGTCATCGCACAGCAACATACCCGAACAAATTATCTACGGCATACGCTCGCCACCGCTTACCAGCCCCGTTTATGCGCATATGACGCCGCATGGCATCTATGGCACCACGACCATCGCCGCCGCCACACCGAACGGTTTCATGACACTGCAGCATCCGAAGTCGCGCAACTTGGCANGCCCACAACAACAGCAATCACCCTTCCTGCCAGCACCCGTTATGTACTCACCAACCACAGCGGTGGTGATGAAGCAAGGCTATATGACGATACCACGCAAACCACGCGTACCCAGCTGGGCGCCATCTACTTCCACCACAAATCAGACACAGCTAAGCGAATTCCAGTCGCCCACATCGCCAAATCCGAGCGAAACTGGCACCGCCACAACAGCTGAACTGCAATCGGAGCCAGTCTACGACAATCTTGGACTGCGCACAACTGCCGCTGGTAATTCGACGCTGAACTTGCACAAAGTGCATCCGGAAGTAAGTAGCTGCGCCTCCACATCCTCACGCTACACAATGCGCGATCGCCCACTGCCGGCCACGCCGAGTCTAACGTCGGTGGCGTCGAGCACAGCAGCCATGCAGCAGCAGCAACAGCAGCAACAGCAGCAGGCACAACAAGTGCAACAACAGCAGCTACAGCAACAGTCGCAACAACAAAAAGCTGTACCCAGCACTTCAGCAGCGGCAGCGGCGGCGGCGGCAGCAGCAGCAGCATCTGCAACGGCTTCAAAAATTTACGAACCCATACATGAGCTGGTGAATAATAATCATCACCTGACGACGACCTCCGACACAGAGCCGCTTTATGGCACTGCGCGACATCACAACGGTCTCACCATTGTGCCGAGTGTCAACAATGTTAATAATGGTGGCAGCAGTGTTGGTGCCTCTAATACAACTGCGGGCGCGAATGCGTCTACCGGCGAGCCTACGAAAGTGGCGAAAATACCGCCACGTCCACCACCGAAGCCCAAGAAGAAGATGTCCGTGACGGCGACACGCGGCGGCCAAGGCAGTACCAGCCAGCTGTTCGATGATGAGGGCGAGGATGGCACAGAGGTTTAGTTGCAAGTACACAAAGGCGGCGGTGGCGGCGGCGACGGCGACGACTGCAACTACGATGGCACGAACGCCAGCTAAAACTTCTTCAAACTAAAAATGGCTGAATGGTAACTAAAATTTAAGGCATTTCGTGGGCAAAAGTTATGTGTATCCAGTAGTGGGAAAAGCAGAAAAGCAAAATAATAGAAAAATGTGCGTGTGGTATGTATGTATGTAGGTGGTATTACTGTGTACTCGTACTACATATATACGTGCTTATGTAGATGAATAGGTATGCCAACAGTAGTTAGTTGGGGGGGATAAATCAAAATAACAAACAGCAAATGGTGGCGATTGCTTCGCCGTTCCTCTCTAAAAGGGCGTATCTTTGAAAAATATATGTATGAAATGGCATTTTTGTGGTAAGCAAAAACTCTGCGGCGCTTTGGCTGCAAATGAGGCGGCATATACATGAATACCTATGGCGTTGCCTTCCGCAAGTGGCAAGTCCTTATGGCAGCTTTGAATTTAAAGGACTGAGCTGTTGATATTTTTCCCAGTCATGATCTTAAATTTTCTGTGGGCGGGGTGGCGTATTTTAAGATTAATTTTATGCAATTTTTATTTTTTTCAATGGAGAACGATTCGCGGTCGACTTTTACGGATTTAAAAACACAAAAAAACGTGGGTTAGTGATATTTCTTAAAAAAATGTTCTTTTTGATGCAAGAAGGCAGCTAGATGCTCCAGGTATATTTCTGCGTCAAAAAGTAAATGTTGTAAAAAATTTCGCCTACGTTTTTTTTTTTGAGATTAGGGCTCGATATAGGTCTACTCGTGAGGGCTGTATATACATTACCAAATTGTATGAAACCAACTTAAGCTTTAACGACACCGCGTCGCAATCACGATTTTTATTTTATTTTTCACATTGTGGTCTTTTAAGTTCTAGCACCACTAAGTTAAAAATATTTCAACAGAATTTTATTTACAAAAACTTGCTAAATTATTTAAAGACCGTCCTTGAAAGGAGTTTAAAAAAAGTTAACAGCGCTCTACAGTGGCGTTAATAGTCAAAAGGAAATCGCTAATTTCCAGGTATCGTACGGACTAGGGTGGTCTTTAATATATTAACCTCATAAGCACCCCTTTATTTTATTCTACTTACAAAATAAAGACATGCACGAAAATTTCATAATAAAGTGTTTGCAAATATTTAATATTTTTAGTCACAAAAGTTCGACAAAATTCACGACTTTGCCCAACTATAACTCAGCGAGCATATACATAAATTTGTTTGAATAAGTTTCAATAATATGTCAAACTTATGAGATTTCAAGTAGAAATTAAAAAATTTTCAAACCCTGGTAGCGACCCCTAAAAGTCGTTTTTAAATTTTTAAATTTACATGGAAGTCTCATTTTGTTTGAAGAAATTGAAAGGCCCGAAAACTTGCCCTTGTAATCATCAAGTAAGACAAAAACAAAAGACAAAAGTTAAGCATAGTATCAAAGAAAAAACACTGAAAAAATGGCCAAGAAATTTTCTTGTGTAAAAGTTCCTTAAGGCAGTAGGGAGTTCTTAAGAAATTTGCTACGTATTCTACCAAAGTTTTCTAAAGTTTTTTGTGTACAAAGAGCACAAGGAAATCCATGTTTGCAACATAAATACATATATGCCCGTTCCAACATTTTGTGAGGAAAAAGTGAGACATTTGTCAAAAATCCCATTCACACACACGAAACAATGACATTTTTTTCTTGGCCGTGTTCTTCAGACCTGGATACTAAGCTTTATTTGATTTATACCCGGCAATTTCTCGTTTTTATCTTTTCGATCTTTCAATTAATCAAAAACGCAAAATTTCGAATCAATTGTAGCGTTGAAAATGAAGAATTTCCGAAAAATCACGAACAATTGTGGAATGTTTACAATAAATTCCAAAAAATACTCAAACAAATGCCACAAGTTTCCAAAAGATCAAGAGAACTAAAACGCTTTGATAAGTTCCAAAGAAACACCTAACAAATTGACAGAAAGATGTTGGGGTATTCTCAAACGAATTAGCGAAAAATATCGAATCGCTATCGCAACATTGCGACTTTCATAACACACATCGGCAACTTGCGATAATCATTCGAAAATTGTCGTTAACTCAATTGAGAACAGTCTCACCAAGAATAAAGTATATTCATTTTTTTTTCTCAACTCAGAATTTATGACACCAAAAGAGTCCGAAATGAGACAGTTTGGTTTTCTGGTCTTAGGATCATATATATGTATGGCGAAAGAAAGACTCATTTTAGACTCATCAATTCTGAGCACTCACAAAATTGCTTAAAGGGAAGATTACAGAAACTCCAAATTACACCAAAATATACAGTAGCATGCGATATGTTTTTTCCATTGCTTACCTAGTTATTTAAAAAATCAAAATACTACATACATGTGTGTATTAGGGTGCCTCGTCAAAAAATTTGGTGGGGTTTTCACCGGAACTACAAAATTTATTATATTTTAAGAACTTCTTCCAAATATTTCGGAAAAATATAAAGATTTACGTGTGTTATACCGGTTTAAAATAGCTACAAAAATCTAATTTTTTATGAATAAAAGTAGTTTCTTAACAATAATTTTTTCCAAAAAATTACCTCAAATGATAGTGTAAACTTTTAATCCGTACAACAATGTTTAAAAATTTTATCAACGGCATCAAAAATAATGAGGTTTTCGGACTCATTTTTAAATCGATCCAGCTCACGTAAATCTCAATATGTTTCTGATTTTTTTTGGTGGAAGACCTAAAGTGTATTAAATTTTATAATTCCGATGGAAAGAGTATCGATTTTTTTTTTTTTTGTATGGAGTAATGCGCCTTAATTTACATACAAACTCGCCAAAAGGTTTAAATTTTTTTCTTCAATGTGCAATCTGCGGAGGTTATATTATTTTACTCGAAAAACGTGTAAGATATCGCGACATTTTTTTTCGACATTTATTTTTTGATGCGGAAATGCTCTAGGGACATTTCTGCGTCAAAAATAATGCAAATAAAACAAAAATAAGATATACTGATCTATAACTTTGTTGAGCGAAAATGATCAGCCCAATATCATATTTCAAAAATATACCTTGCTGTAGATAAAAACTTTACCTTTTTTGTACCATATTTTTTTGCTTAGACTTAGACATAAGAGCGTAAATCCTATAACTGTTTTTGTCTTTGAAAATTTTCTTCCCGTATATTTCTTTTGTAAAATTAGGCCCTTTTCACAGACGAGATTTCACTTGCTCTATGTAAACTTCCTTTAAAGTTAATTGAATGGTGCCGTTTTAGCTGCAAGCACGTGATTACGTGTTTCTCTGGAATTTTAAAACAAAATCAAAACATTATTTCACACAACTAAGCCATCAAATACGTATGTATGTATGTAAGTTACAACAAATGCCGCCTCACCGCACCACAGCTGCTTTATGCCACCACCAAAATCGCCATCTGCATTATTTACGAAGTGAAGTAATCGCGTGACGACTTGTGTGCCAAACGACTGATGTAGAATTTAGTAAATTATACGGAAAATTACAAATACCTATAAAAAAAAAACAAGAAAACTCACTCTTAAAAACATGAAAATGCAATAATCGAGAACAGTGCAAGAAAAGCAAAAAAAAAAAATATGGACTTTCATACTTAAAAAGTAGTAGAGCACAAATTCAAAGAACAAATTATTACATTTTTTCATTTTGTTATAAGTACTACATTTTTAATTGGGCAACAATGAGAAGAAAACAAAATTACGAAAATTACTACAAATGTTAGTTAAAAGCGCAAAGTGCTAGGAGGAGGAGGAGAAGGAGGAGGAAGGAGGGGGAAAAAGAAAGAGACCGAAAGCTTGCTACTACTCCAATAGTAGAATTTGTTATTCGTGCAACGAAAACTGAGTGTCCTCTGTGCTAAAAAGTTATGTACAAAAAATATTTGCCGCCGAAAATTGCCAGCAATGTATTTTTTCCTTTTTTTATTTTACTAGATTTACTACATATGTATTTATGTAACAACATTAGAGTGTATCACCAAAAAAAAAAAAATTATTATATTTTAAGACTTCCGCCAAAATATTGCGGAAAATTGAGATATGTGTGAGCTAAACCGATTTGAAAATACCTTCAAAAATCTTATTATTTTAAATTCGCTGATACAGTTTTTGAACATTTTAATGCTGATTTTATCATCTGAGGTGATTTTTTGGAAAAAATATTGTCAAAAACTAATTTTACTAAAAAACACATTTTTGTAGGTATTTTCAAATCGGTTGAACTCAGCTAAATCTTAATATTTTTCCCAAATATTTTGAGGGAAATCTTAACACATAAAATTTTGTTTTTAATTCCGATGGAAAAACAGCACCGATTTTTTTTTCTATGAAGAGTGGTGCATCCTAATGTACACACTTTTCAGCAAAGAAGGTTCAATGAAGTGAGCTGTTTTTTTACAATGATTTAAATCTTAAGTTAAGCACACATACATATTGTACATACATACATACTTAGATAGGTACATACATAAGAATATATAAATTTGTATAAAGTGAGAAAATAAACCGAATGAAAACGAAAAGTTAATCTAATGAAAGTTTAACTTTATTGATTAAGCGAAAATTTAAATATGTAGACGAAATTTTTAGAACTGAAAAGAGTATATAATTAGGTGATGAACTAAGCATGCATAATTGTAATTAAAAGCTTAAGTATACATACATATGTACATGCATAAGTATGTAGTTAATTAGGTAATTAAGCAAATACTTATAATGAAGTAGAAAACCACAAGATAAAAAATTGTACATTATAAAAGAAGAATTTTTAAGCGAAAATGTTTCTATATGTAAAATAAAAATATATAAAAAACAAAAGAAAAATCATGCTACAAAGTAATTGTAATTATTCGCGCTTAAGTATTAGAAAACAAGAAATTCAAATGCAGAAATTTCTCAAACAAAATTGAAAATAGTTCTTAAATATTTGAAAATGTATATTTCAACCTCTTTTTTTTGCCACCGCAGTAATAAATACAGTAAGCCATACATAGACTTAAGCGAATCAGCGTTCACATGGTGATTTTTTTTTTTTAATATTCACGATATTTTTCAAGTTAGAATTTTTTTCTAATGTTTTATAAAAATATGGTTCAGGCTATGTATGCATGCATATATACAAGAATTTAAAATTTTATTGGAAAGTTCAACAAATTTTCATCTAAATTTTAACCTTTAAATATTTATGAATTTTTATAAGATGTTCGGATATGCTATTTTATAAG